AAAGATGCCTGCCAGTTGATTGGAAGAAGAACTACCTTGTCAAACTGTCGAAGAAGGGCAATCTAAGTGTTTGCAAGAACTGGTGAGGAATCATGCTCCACCACTGTCCACCCAAAGCAAAATACTATGCCGCATCATCCTGGAGAGACTAAAGGATGAGCTGGACTCAAAATTACCACTGGAACAGGCTGGCTGGCTAGCTGGCTTCAGGAAGAACAAGTCATGTGAGAACCAAATTGCAACACTACGCTACGACGCATCATCATAAAACAGAGCATAGAATGGCAGTCAACCACATCTTCACCTCAACTTCATCGACTCTGAAAAGGCCGGCCTTCGACAGCGTAGACCGAGAAGTAATTTGTCAGGCAGTTGCTTCAACACTACGATTTTAGTGCCACAAATCTGTATCGACCTCATTCCACAACAGCTATATGAAGACGCCACATGCCAAGTAATTCACAATGGAAAGCTCAATGACGTCATTGAAGTGAGGACAGGAGCAAGACAAGGCTGTCTCCTATAACCGATGATTTTCTTGATTGTGGTCGACTCGACTGGACTGGATCATGCAACAAAGTGTGAGCAGTGAGAAGATGGGCATACGCTGGCTGGACCGATGAGAAGATCCGAGAAGAAGACTGAGATTTCCCCCTTGATGATTTATGTCTAATGTCACACAAACAGGCGGAAACTTACAAGTTGACAGAAGAGACAGGGCAGCGAAGACGGGACTTCCTCCAGGTAAACGTAGAGAAGATGGAGGTGATGAAGATACCCAACCAACAACAATATGCTCCCATCACCATCAACGGGAGAAGTCTAGAGGAGGTTGTCTCTTTCATCTACCACCTAGGCAGCATCATTTCAACTACAGGCGGTGGCACAGGCACAGATGAGGACGTCAAAGCCAACCAGGATCGGAAAACACTAAGACAGGCCTTCATTAACCTGAAATCAGTGTGGAGACCTACTGCACTGCACTGCACTGCACTCAGCATCAAGTGTGAACATGATCCGGATTTCGAACACTAATGTCAGTTAAGTCAGTGCTTCCATGTGGTGGTTCACAGACTTGGCGCGTCATGAAAAGCACTTCGAACAAACTATAGACATTCATCAACAACTGCCTACGCTGGCTCGTTACTGAAGTTCAGATGGCCAGAATAATGAGAATAAGCAACAAGGAACTCCGGTTGGTGACGAACCAACCAAGAACCTATCTATCACTCAACAAGTATGCAGAAGAAAGTGGAGGTGGATTGGGTTGGGCATGCAGTGAGTAGGCGGATTGGGGACATCACGCGCCAGGCCATGTCAGGCCGTTGAGTGGAATCCTGAGGGGAAACGACGATTTGGGCGTCTGGGGCGAAGATGACATTGAGGAGATGGTGTGAGGAAGAAATGAAAGCTTGTGGGCAGTGTTGGCGCCAGGTTTTGAAGACCGCAGAGAAGAGAATGCGCTGGAGACGTGCTACTGAATCCGTGTGTTCCACTAGGAACCCAAGGGATAAATAATAATAATAATAATAATAATAATATTAATGTATGATAACAACTTTAAATATAATAAAGCTTGAAATATTTGGAAAATAAGTTAGCAAGACCTTTTTAAACTACTACCGTTACCTAGAACTACTTACAATTTTTAAGATCTTAATGCAACTCCCTCTTACTATTGATTGGAAATCACAAAAGCTGGATGATGTAGACAGCCAATGAATATTATGTACACTTTGAGCGCTACATTAAGTTTACCGAATTTCAGCTTTATTTTTGATTTAATGCATTCTTTGGAAGCTACAATACTTGGTGTTTGCCTACATTGAAATAAGTTCTAGCTGATAACTACGGTTCTCTCTCTCAAATACTAAGATAGACCTTCCAATAACATTGATAACAGTAATAGTGGTAGAGCTTTATTCACTCACTTCATATGTTATATAAGAATTACGTGCAAAACGTTTTCGGTTGATATTTCATGATTACTAACAATTATGATCCAATACATTGACGAATTAACTAGTAAAATTTTTGTTTCACTCCAAGCATTGACTTTAGGCATATACCAGTTTATTAGTGTTTATTGTGAGAAAACAGATTCAATGTCACATGTTCGTTTACACTACATGACTATTCTGTTGCTATTGTTGCAGCCAGTTGCAGCAACTTATGGACTTACTAAACAAGCCGGTGAAAAACATGTGATAATAAAAACGATAAAATATTTTTAATCCTAATTTAAGGCATCTCATTTAGGAAAGTGAAGTACGTCCAAAATATAAAGCACCTAACCTTGATTGAATTTTAGTTTTAAAAGAAGAATTATACGGTAAATTATTATCTCGAGTTTTTTTTTCTTTGAAACTGATGAAACTGATAAACAGTTGAGTATGTATATCAGCTTAACTGACAATAAGATCAATTAGTTTTTCATTTAAGTGATCTAACTGATTTTTGCCACCTAAACTAAATTGATGAATCGCTTACAAGGACAAAAACTGTTTTTTTTTTTCAACTTTTATTAAGAGATACAACTTTCAACAACACAAATGAAATCGACTATAAGCCGAGAACTTGAAATGTGGTCAAAATATGATAATTATATTGGACTGGCGTCTAAACTGCATTCAATGAACTTTTCTGATAGCGTTTTCAGACGATCAAATAATTTATGGTTATTCCAGAGACAATTCAGGTGTAATTAACCACAACTCAGTTATCCTTTTTAAATTTTGGTGGCTTTAACAAAACATCCTTAACCAATTAATGTATCCCTGACATGAGTTGTATAAGAAAAAATGAATATGACTGCATATACACCTAATCGGTTAGTGTGAAACACTGAAGACCGTTGTATTCGAAACCTCGGACTGAATGATGTTATGCTTGATACCAGATCTGATGGTTCTAGAAATCAAGGACTCATAGATAAGGAGTCCCAAACTAGAATGAAACAGCTGTCCAATACCTGCAGATTTCAATATCACTTCAACTGATGTTCATAAGTTTCTCCAGTCTCTTTGTAACTCATTTTTTTTATTCATTATCGGTAATTCCATCTATAGTCAACAGAAACCGAAATGATTTTGTACGCTTTCTTTGAATAATCTACTTGACTTTCATACATTTGTGTAATGATGACAATTAAAAGAGTTAATGAAAGAGAATTTAGCCATTTTTTAAGATTTTGAATTTAGTATACATTAATACACTGTACGGTCAATTAGTTCCAGTACAAAACTATGCACATTGTGAGTGTTCATAACTTGTTCACTCAAATCCCTGATGACAACTTACATCATCATCAAGTAGTCTATTATTCAGTGCTTATCCTTAACATATTATAAGCGTAAAATTCACCAAAAGCAGATTATTTAGCTAACCGATTAGTCAATATCCATTCCAGTTGTGAAAAAAACCTCACTTATAATTTCATAATTAAAGTCAGTTTATGCTTACTATATGAATTTATTTAAAAAATCGAGTTGGACAACATGAGAAGAAGTAAATAAATAAAAAACTCACTATTATTTTAAACTACCTACTCATTTTCTCTTTTCCAAAAAAAACTGTTGTCTATTCATACAATTCATGTAGACATTAGACTTTGGTGCATGGTTTGCTTCTACTGTGATGAAAATAGGACATTCAAGTTAACAGAATAATAATACATTCAGATCAATACTTATTTTTTTGATAAAATTCTGATCTTTTGATTATTTATGTTTTTAGTGAGTAAACCCGCTCAGTGTACTCATACCAGTTTTTATTCTCAAAGGATATCATCATATAGTGGAAATACAAACGCTGGTCGAACTTCTCACTGTTCATATAACAGATTGTATGTACTATACACTTGATGATGCTTCATGTTCATAACGTATGACCATTATAATGACTGAAGACGGAGATGATACGGATTTCCTTGAATATATAATATTTAAGGACTGTAATCCATTAGGAAGATTTAACTTAAATAATGGGGGGTTGAAATACCAATAATAGTGGTTATAATAATAATGTTGCTAGTTGATAACGTAAAGGTCGAATGATAACAAAAACGGTTAGGTAAGGTTTTTAAATCGTTGATAAGGGGCATATAGATTAAAAAGGAGTGAAAACGTGGTAGAGTTAGTAAACAATCAGAGGATTAGATAATACGAGTGAGATAAGTTATCTGGAATAAACTGAAAATGTTTATCTACCATGTGTATCTACCAGTTCACCTGCTTCTGTTGAGTAAAGTACATCAGCCGTGGTCAGAGATTGCTGCCTGGTTTTATAAGCGTGAAAGGAAATGCATCAGAAGTTTTATCCCTGAACATTTCAACGATTCCAACCATCCAACCGACCGAAACAATAATTTTTAAGATTGCCTATCGAATTCGCTCAAACATCTCACGCTTCCTCCATCTTAAACTTCAAAAAACAGCAGAGGCCTTGGCTGTCCATGACCTGAAGCCTGACCTTTGTGTGTAAAAGAAGTATGCAAAGTCTTTGTCTCTACCCTGGCCTTAACATACTTTGGTCTTGGTGGGCTTCGTTTATTTTTTGTTTTTCCAACTTCCTCTTTTGTCAGAATACTTTATGTCCTCTTATATTGTCATTATCATTTTTATTTTTATATTTGATTGTTTCCGGTGTTATTTAATTTGATCTTCCTAATAATCGTACCTTTTAACAAATATTTTCAGTTTATTCATATTATCTTATCCTTCGATTGTTTATTAACAGTACCACGTTTTCATCCCTTTTTAATCTGTATCCACCTCACAAACGATTTAAAAATCTTAATGTCTTAAATTATAATGTCTGCTAGTGGGGAAATGAGAATGGTGATATTTATAACTGAAGAACTGAGAGATTAAATTACATCTCGTTAACTTATTAATTGCTTGCCAGTTTTAGCTTGTGTTATTCAAGCAAACAAAATGCGAACTCACTTCTTTTTCATAATCAGTTCAAATTCATTAAACATAAAAACTGTATACACTTACTTGACACGGGTATCTTCGACTTGTCGAAACTTATCAAAACGCGCCAGAACCTCTTCTAAATGACTAAGTTCCTCCATGGTAAGATTTGCATTTCCTAGTGTTGTTCCTTTCCTAGGATAAGATTTCAAACTTTGAGAGCTACTGACGCTCTGAACATCTGGAACAACTGGACTAAGAGCTTTACTCCTTATAGCATTTGTGGGAGAATTCGATCTTGAGTGGATGTTTTTTTCGCTGGACCCTACGGCTCGTGGAAATATTGGGCTTTTCGGGTTAGAATGTGCCATTTAAAGTTTAAATTAACATCAAAGTCTGGTAGCGGTCTGTTATTGCGAAATAGACAAAATATTGCAATTAATAAAGTACATTATAAGGCAGAAAATTCGTCTGAACTAGTTAGCTTCTTTAATATATTTAGAAAATAACCAATCAGAAAATGATCTTGACTGACACAAAGTATTTTTAGAGCAAGAATAACACCAATAACTAACTTGAATGACTAGATTACTGAAAGACTACAGATGAGATAATATACAAAAAGATAGGCATTTCTATTTTTTGTTTAAATTTCTCATCACTAAGATGTTGAAGTCAAGGTCACCTTTGCATACTTTTGAAAGTGATTTTAGTTTACGTGATGTCTTGGTAGGTTAGGACTTAGAAAATACAAGTAAAATTCACGTAATTTTCGCCGGACTTTGGATATAACAATGATGTGACAGAATTGTCAAGCGAACTGAATGCAAGTTGTAGAAAAAGTATGTGTAGATGAAAACAGAAAGGGCCAATACGAGAAATAGGCGAAAAATAGAAAGTAATCAGTGTTAAGAAGTCGCAAACGAAAACCAAGAATTAACAAAACAATATTGAAATTTTACATGAAGATTAGGATGAAGACAATGTGCTAATACATCAATGCCTTGGTTATCGATTCTGAATCATATCACCTAGAGTCTTCAGTCATCAGTTTTAGCTGTCATGTGAACCCAAACTGGGAAGCATACAGTACCTACGTGGCCCACACCAGTGGTTAAACACTTCATGGATTGATGCTGTTCTTTAGTTTGACCCTTGTAGCTATGAAAAAAGCTTGCAGATGGTTAGCAAAGCCGTCTTTAAAGGTTATTCCCATATACTGGAGTCAGAGTAAAACTTCGAAACGGGGTCCCATCTCTTCTTTAGATGAGAATTAGATATCTGGTCAGGATCTAATTAAAAGTCCTAAAGAATTGTAAACCGCAATATGGTCTTCTCATTAAAAGGAGACGATAATTTACTCACCAGTTTTAAAAGGAATATATTTCTCATAGATCCAGCTCATACTACAAAAGAGGCAACAGGGTTACTGCATAGCCATAATCCTGTGAAACTCTTCTTGATGTTTAACATACACGTCGGTTGCTTTTCTTGACAACCGTCGCTGACAACTCTCTTGCTAAGCTATTGAAGAGTACTCTATCTCATACTTGGCTTCAGACAGACTGTAGAGAAATCAACGTCGACCAGTTTTTCAAAACGACTGGCCGGTATATAGTATTGAGTTATCATTTCACTAGCCTAAAGAGTATAATTTTAAGATATTCCAAAATTTTACTCATGATTAAGTGCATAATCGTGTAGGGAAACATCGTCTTCTATCCAGCCTCATAACTTTCTTGCTAGTCACTGTTGTTGAGCTAATCTCAGTTAAAAAATGTCAGTAGAGCCTAGCAATTACAGACTTTTAACAAATGTATTGCTTAGCAAATTTAGCAGCTCTTTCAATAAAATATCATTAAGCATCTTATTTATTCCTAAAAATTAGGGTCAGTGGTTTGTTGGAACTTTGCAAACTGTAAATGTACACGAGCAGTAGTAGTGTCGGCAGCTTATTGCTGAAGTTCTCGCTTCCAATTTTTGTCCTCACATATCGACTTATGTATATGAACAGTCCCAATCCATACTCACATAAATGCCTAGTAACATCTAATGTTGTGGCTAAGGCGTGTAGAAATGACTCAGAGTAAATCAACTCTTAGTTTAGGCCTTGCAGATTGCAGTCAAGAAAGATATCAGTTCCTCAGATAGGGTAAAAAGTTTCCAAGCCGTCATTCTAGCACGATCGGCACTCTCACAGACTGCACCTGGGACCATTTTTTAAGTCATCAAGAGAAAAAAGCGGATAAATGATACAGAGACAACCATAGAGCATAATACACCCTGATGAATCCCATATCTGTAGGTTAAAAGTTGTCATGAGCGATTTTATATAAAATGCACCTCCTGAAGTCTGTAAGTGCAATTTAGGTGTGACGTGGGCATAACAGATGAATATAACTGTTTCATGATGAAAAATCTATACTTTTAGTTCTGTTGCGTTTGCCCATTCTATCAAACTAAGCATTTCTTATATACTTTCAGTGTGAAGCAGACTTCTAATCTCTTGTTAACTGTTATTAAACAAATGTATTTTACGAGTTATGCTACCGTGATGATGGTTGATCATGCCAAATCAGTCGGCTAGTGTTACGTCACTCACAAACAAGATAAGATACGGCCTATGACTGTTTATTCTTCATCAGCCTTGAGCCTACTTCATTGGCGCAGATAGCTATGCAACGAGAAATTTGTGCAAGGGTGGAATGTTAGATAATATCTTAAAACAAACTAGGAGTATACAAAACGGAATATTAGCCTGACAACGGAGTTCATCATTTTATTCAGTTGCTGCATGTGCAGCAGCAGCTTTCTAGAACATAAAAACCTGTTCTACAGACAACAGTAAAGTGCAGTAGGCCGCAACCTGGTATTAGGAACCCTTCAGGCCAACCTGTGTCGACTATGTAAACCAAGGCATTCACCTAAAGAGATGCTTTGTCAATCAAATGGAGTGGTTTCCACTATCTCATCTTGTGGTTACCAACCGATCATTTACCGTTAAGGATACACCAGATCTATCTGGTAAGTAGTCAAAGTCTCTCTCTCTGTATATATATATATATATATATATATATATATATATATATATATATATATATATATATATATATATATATATAACTCTGCACCAGAAGTAAACAAAAGTTTCTTTCCAGGATTTGGACCCCATCTCTCAATAATGACATGATGTAAGTCAGGCTGATTGTTATACTTGAGAAGTAGCTTTAACTTCTATGTTGTAGTGGAATAAGCAAACCAAATGCAATCTTCTCTTCTGTTCCAGAAGATTTCTGATGACAGGAAGTTATCTTTTGTAGTGAAAAGTGGCCTAAATTGTTTTCACAGTAATAAGAGAGGACTCAAGAGTAGGAGATGGAAAAGTTTGAGTATTTGTGCTTCTATAGTGAAGAAACGTCATAATCCTGATGGAATCCAGCATTCACCTGTTATTAACTACATAGATGGTAAGCTACTTTTCAAGAAAAGTAGAAAGGAAAACAGGCATGGGCGTAGTTAAGTTCAGAAGTGCAGGAATAACTGCCACTCAAATGTTTCAGATTAGGTTCCTACTCCCTAACGAACTGAACTAAGCACTGATGTTCTACACAAACAAGAGTAGCGACTAATTCAGACGATATCCGCCAAGTCAGACATGAGATAACACCGGTTTGCTATATCTGTAAGCTTTAACACCCATTTTCCAAACCCAGGACAAGACAATACAGTAACTAATGGAATGTTCTATCAACAGCTTTTAGGCACTGTTGGCAGCACTAGACTGTGTAAAAGCTTGTGGGCTGACACACACTGAGGTCCGCATAAAAACCCATCAAAGCTAAACCTTTTTCTTGTAAGCAAGAGTGAATATACCTGTCGAAAATTGAGCTTGGAACATCAATCGCATAGTTGTAGTGTCTGACTTGTTGCACAGTAAATGACTTCCTTGTGATAGCTCTAGTGCTTGGCTCTGTTACAACATGACAAAGTGCAAAATGGTGAGACTATGTCCTTTGAAGGAATGATGATCTCACCACCGACGTTTCTTGCCAATGTATGGCCTCTGGGATTTGGCAACAAGAATGATATAAAAGCGGTTTTCAGAAAACAAATCATGAGCTGTAATTGTTCGCTAAATCTGAACGGCTTGGTTACGACGGTGAACCATGTGTCACTTGAATGTTGATGGAAGAGACTGAAACATGTGGGAGCTTTCTAGAAAGCAGTTCTACAACAGTGCATAGGTGGTTCTGAGAAACGAACGTAACATCAAGGTGCAGAGATGTGGAACTCTATTTTAAAAAATCATGTCAAAAAAACCTTAACGATAAAAATGAACGAACTTATCAACCTTTTCGGCGAGCTTCTAGCACTATCGAACACCGAAGAGATCGAGACCCCAAACAGAAGTGATCGCCAGAAAAATACCGGAGCCCAGTTTCGGCAAGCTCTCAGATATTCAAACAACCGAAAGGATTTGCCGACCACTATTTTGAGAAACAACAGGATGAGAACGGCATACTATCTGAGGCTCAGCATAGTGTCAGAAACAGTAACCAAGTGTAATCAACCTCCTGACAGCTCAACAGCAAGATGACATTCAGATATCGTTAGATAATTGTACACGTATTGTTTCTTAGATTTGCCACAGCCTCAGATACTGCTCCACCAAGATTTGCAAAGTAAGTTAAAGTTTTGTTGGATTTTCAAAAATATCTACTGCTATTTATTATGGATGAATGTCAGATATTCCTCGCAATAGTATGTCACAGAAATCCTTTATCTTTTTGTGGCATTTATCGTCACCATACAGCGACTAGGCATGACCTGAGTCTCGTCCTAACAAAAAACCTGGACGTGCACTTGAACCATAAGGGGAAAACAGTGGTTCAAACGTTGCACTTAGGAAATACGGCCACCTTTTCCCAGAAGTTTTTCCTAAGTTCCAAACAACAAGTGAGATGTAATCTTTCAGTTCGAAATGCAGTTACACTACCAAAACCCGAGAATAAGTGTAACGGATGATTGCATTGTAGTCTGAAATAACGGAGTTATCGGAAATTGAGCCACTTCACCGAATAAGCAGACTCCAAGAATTCGTAAACATTTTAATCCTGTGTATCGTGTAAACGCAATAGGTAGAAGGAAATATAAGTGAACACTTATATAGTACAGTTATTGAAATAATTATTCACCACAAGAAGGCAACATATTAATAAAAGTCAATAGAAGCGCATTTCATATGAAAATCGGTTACCGGAACCAGGTCTTTGTGCTTTTAGTATTCACACCAATAAGTGTCCTGATAACGGCCTAAGAGAATCCGAACAGTAGCGGTCTCAAAAGTAAAGCTATCACAGCGTCAATGCAGTCGTGGCCAACAGAATATAAAAAGAAAATCTTCCTAAAGGGCGAAAAAACATGTGAAAACACAACCTCTTCTTTCATTTATGCAACCCGCAGAATGCACTGCAAATCGATGTAGCTA